CCAGCAGCAGTTGGAGGTGACCTGGCCAGTAGTGGGGCAGTTAGGGGCGATCAGGCTGGCTGGGGGGGGCAGTTAGGGGTGACCAGGCAGGTAGGCAGGTGAGCGATTAGGAGCCAGCGGTCCAGGATTGTGAGAGGGATATCCGACTGCTGGTTTAGGCCCGAGGGGTCCCGGATTGGAGAGGGTGCAGGCTGGGCTGAGGGGACCCCCCCACACCCCCATGCACAAATTTTGTGCACCGGGCTTCTAGTGTGTGTGTGTGTGTGTGTGTGTGTATGGCTAATATGCAAAGTGTCCCCTCGGGAGTTTGACCAAGAGACCGGAGTTCGATCGTTCGCTATGACCTGTGCTGACCACCAGGGGGTGGCACGGAACGAAGGAAGGCCCCAGCCGGCATCCAGGGAAGGAAGGCCCCAGCCGGCAGCTTGAAAGCCCTGATTGACTCTGATCACCAGCCAGGCCTAGGGACCCTGCCTGTGCACGAATTTAGTGCACTGGGTCTCTAATTGTGAATGTTTCCATGAACATTTGTGTGTGTAAGTGTTTGAGTACCTGTTTTCAATTCTTTGGGGTTTTCTGTTATGAGAGGAATTGCGAGATCATATGGTAATTTTATGTTTAACGTTTTAAAGAGCCACCAAACTTTTCCACAGTGCCTGAACTATTTTACATTCCTACCAGCAATGTATTTGGGTTCTAATTTCTCTATATCCTCTCAGTGCTTGTTATTTTTAAAATTATAGCCATTCTAGTGGGTGTGAAGTGGAATCTCATGGTGGTTTTACTTTGCACTTCCCTAGTGCCTAATGATGTTGCATCTTTTCATGTGCCTGTTTGCTGTCTATATGTTTCCTTTGGATAAATGATGTTTGTTGTTGAGCTGTATGGGTTCTGTACATATTTTGGATATTTTACCCTTATCAGGTAGATGACTTGAAAATATTTCCTCCCACTCTGTAGGTAGTCTTTTCACATTCTTAATAATGTCCCTTGATGCACAGAAGTTTTTAATTTTGATGAAGTTCTGTTTATCTAACAAAGGAGAAATCCTTTGTTGCTCATGCTTTTGGTGTCATGTCTGAGATGCATTAAAAATCATGAAGGTTTATCCCCATTTTATAGTTTTAGCTCTTACATTTAAGTTGTTGGCCCTTTTTGTATATTATGAAGCAGGAGTCCAGTGAGGGCTCTTATTTAAAAACAAAATTTCAGGCAACTTTTTGGCTACTTCTCGAATCTCTGTCTGGTCCAGCCTTCTCGCCTCCATTCTAGCCTCTACCATGTCCACAAGGGTGACCCAGAAGACCTACAAGGTGTCCACCTATGGCCTCGGGCCTTCAGCAGCCACTCAATTCAAGTGGGCCTGGCACCCACATAAGCTCCTTGACCTTTTCCAAGGTGGGCGGCAGCTACCGGATTGGCCTGGGTTCCAGCATGAATCTCGCTGGGGATTATGGCGGAGCTGGGAGTATGGAGAGCATCACAGCTCTCCAAGTGAACCAGAGTCTGCTGAGCCCTCTGAAGCTGGAGGTGGACTCCAACATCCAGGCCCGTGTGCAACCAGGAGAAGGAGCAGATCAAGAGCCTCAACAAGTTTGCTTCCTTCAGTGATAAGGTGCGGAGCCTGGAGCAGCAGAATAAGATTCTGAGACCAAGTGGAACCTCCTGCAGCAGCAGAAGACGACTCGCAGTCACATGAACAACATGTTTGAGAACTGTATCAACAACCTTCAGCGGCGTTGGCCCAGGAGAAACTGAGTCTAGAGGTGGAGTTTGGTGACATGCAGGGGCTGGTGGAGGACTTGAAGAATAAGTAGGAGGATGAGATTAGCAAGCACACAGAGATGGAGAATGTATTTGTCTTCATCGAGAAGAATGTGGATATAGCTTACACAAACAAGGTAGAGCTGGAGTCCTGCCTGGAAGGACTGACCGATGAGATCAACTTCAGGCAGCTGTATGAAGAGGAGACTGGTTAGTTGGAGGCCCGGATCTCCAACATGTCTGTGGTACTGTCCATGGACAACAACCACTCCCTGGACCTCTATGGATCATTGCAGAGGTCAAAGCTCAGTAGGAGGAGATGGCTAATTGCAGCCATGCCGAGGCTGAGACCATGTACCGGATCAAGTGTGAGGAGCTGGGAAGCACAGGCATGACAAAGACTGAAATTTCTTTTTCTCTCTTTCTTTCTTTCTTTCTTTCTTTCTTTCTTTCTTTCTTTCTTTCTTTCTTT